CTATCAGACCTTTAAATAATTAATGCCAATACTCCTCAAATATTCCACACAATATAAAAGAATAGAACACTTCCAAAGTCATTCTATGAATCTAGTATCACCTTAAACCAAAACCAGATACGGATGCATCAAGGAAAGAAAGCTATAGACCAATATCCCTGATGAACTCAGATGCAAAAATCCTTAATAAACTTAGCAAATCATATTCAACAACATATTTAGAAGATTATACACCATGACCAAGTTGGCTATATCCCAGGGAGGCCAGGATGGTTTAACATGCCAATCAATAAATGTGATTCACCAGATAAATAGAAATAAGGACAAAAGTTGTTTACTTTTCAATAGGTGCAGAGGAAGTCTTTGACAAAATTCAGCACCCATACATAATTAAAAGAAAAAGAACTGAAGAAACTAGGGACAGAAGGAACCTACCTCAACATCATAAAGTCTATATATGACAAACCCAAGATGACATCATAGTGAATAGGGAAAAACTGAAAATATTCCCTTTAAAATCTGGAACAAGGCAAGGATACTTCCTCTCACCACTCCTATTCAACACAGTATTAGAAATTCTAGGGGCTGGGCTGGGGCTCAGCAGTAGAGCGCTCGCCCAGCATGTGTGAGGTGCTGGATTCGATCCTCAGCACCATATATAAATAAATAAAATCAAGGTATTATGTCCAACTACAACTAAAAAGTATTTTAAAAAAAGAAATTCTAGCCAACGCAATTAAGTAAGAGAAGGAAATAAAAGGAATAAAAAAATCAGAAAAAAATGAATCAAATTACCACTGTTGCAGCCACCCAGAGATGGGTGTAACCTGCCAAGCCCCAAACAACCTTTTTCCCCATTTTCAACCTGTTTCTTAAAGAAGCTCCTCACTGAATCCCTTTGATGTGTTTCACTATAAATAAAGCATTTGTGAACTTTTCCCTTTGTTAGGATCCGACCCGTCAGGTCTCTTACACCAGTCAAGTCCCCGCTTTGAGCATATACTTCTCGTCTTTTGTGTTTATATCTTTTTTTTAATATTTACTTTTTAGTTGTAGATGGACACAATACCTTTATTTATTTTTATGTGGTGCTGAGGAGCGAACCCAGGGCCTCGCGCTTGCTAGGCGAGAGTGCCACCCCTGAGCCACAACGCCAGCCCATGTTTATTTCTTAAAATTACTTTTCTAGCCTTTATTTGCAGCAGGCCCACACCTCCGACAGTTACCTACTCCCTCCCAATGTGGCCAAGATAGCAGCACAATTCACAGCAGCCAAACTATGGAAGCAGCCTAGGTGCCCATCGATGGGTGAATGAATATGGAAAATGTGTTATACATACACAGTGGAGTTTTGTTCAGCCACTAAGAAAAATCAAACTGTGTCATTTGTAGGTAAATGGATGGAACTTGAGACCATGATGTTAAGTGAAATAAGCCAGACTCAGAAGGTCAGGATGGTATGTTTTCTCTCTTCTGTGGAGCTAGAGAGGAAAAGGAAAAGAAAGGTGGGGATTTCATGGAAACTGGAGTGGGATCAGGAGAGCAGAGGAAAGGGAGGAGGTGAGGGAAAGAGGAAACACTGGGGAATGATATTGGCCAAATCATGTTATTACACAGTTGCATGTTCGAATATGTAACACTATATCCCACTGTTACCTACAACCATAATGCACCAGTTTAAAAAGTGGAAAGAAAGAAATTTTGTAGAGTAGATACACAGCAACTTTCTGTATTAATATGCTGGAGATGTTTTTGCACAATATTCAGGATTTTTCCCTAACATCATTTCAATGACTAGAGTATAATGTTTAATCTATCCATTAATTCTGAATATCCAGTCCTTCAACAGGATGATCTTTATAAATACATATTGGTGCCCTGTCAGATCAAGGTCCAAAGTTCTACAAAAGCCCACTGAGCTTCCATAGGCCATCTGGACTCTGTGCCCATTGCCCCAGCAGTGGGCACAGCGGTGAATGAAGGTGGGGAACCTCCCACCCTGGGATCCAGCCTCCTGCACCTGCATCCACTTCCTGAGCCACCAGCACCTGCTCTTCCTCTGCATGCACCCCGACTCTCCTGTGGATCCCCTCTGGTCCTTTCCAGGCCCTTTCTCTAGCTTGAGGCCCCAGGGGACTTCATGATGGTGTCTCCAGGAGGGGACCGTCCAGGACAAAGCTCCTGCCCACAGCAGTCTGGCCCCTGCTCTGTTCCCAGGATGAGGGCTCTTGGCTGGGTTGTTGACCACTCACAAGAGGACAGATCACGAGGCTGGTCAGAGAGAAGTGGCCAGTGTCCTGCAGCCGCTTGTGCTTGGGCACTGGCAGCAATGGGGAGTATGATAAAGAGCTGGACACATGTGGGCAACAAATTCCAGTTTGGAACCCAGAAACACAGTGTACTTGGGGGAGCTTTTGAAACCTGGTGTTTATTTTAAAACTAGTGTGCTGCCTAGGAGAGGCCTTGGGGGCCTCCATGAGTTTGAACCAGGGCCTTGCACATGCTAGGCAAGTGTCCGAATGCTGAGCTACGTCCGCAGCCCTCCCTCTGCCCTGCTTGGTCAGGTGCGCAGCCTACAGAGCAGGGAGGTCAGTGCAGTCACCCCAGGCATGCCAGCCCAGGATGGCAGCTGGCCTGGCTGGCTCTGCAGCTTTCCTAGGACCCCTTGGACCCTTGGACCCCATCCCGGTGCCCTGTGCTGGCTGGCACTGAGCGCTGCACGACTCCAAAGCTCTTGCAAGGGCGTTTTAAACAGGGAGACTCGTGGTGCTTCCTGAAGGCAGTGCCTGTGGGAGGCCATCCTTGCACGTGATTCAAGTTACCTCCCTGGCTGGGCGAGAGGCGCTTAGACACATCTTTGTGTCCAGAGCTTTCCCCACCCTTCTCAGGTCCGAGGGCTTGTCCTTGTGGAGGTGTGTCTGGCCACTACTCCGAAGACCCAATCGTCGCACCTGACCTTGGGACACTGCCCCCCTTAATCTTCATTGGATGGGATTTTCCCCAGAATTTTTTGTTCCCCAATAAAAGTCCACTCCCTGGCGTGTTCTCTCTCTCTCTCTCTCTCTCGCTCGCTCGCTCTCACTAGCCTCTTCAGTAAACCTCGCTACCATTAATAGGTGGCTGGAGGCTGGAGCTAGGAGAAGCCGTCCTGGAGCTGGTTTAAAGGTAATTAGAGCCTGTCTCTTTAATTCAAACTCCCTGAGGGTTTCTCACGTATCTGAACCTTCATTTATGAAGCCTGTGCTGGCCGCGGGCTAAAAGCGCCCAGCCTCAGAGCTGCAGTGTCAAAAGACTCACAGACCCGTCCCTGCTGGCTGGCAGAATAAAGGCTCTGACTCCAAGGTGCTGGCTGTTCACCATTTCACCAAAATGAATCTGCAAGAGAGAGCAGCTAGCCCAGAGAGAATACCACGCAACAGGATCTGGAGGCCTGCGGGCTCTGCACAGCAGGGCAGGACTGCGTCTCCCCCGGAGGGCACCTCCCTCCAAGCCACCCGGCACTGACCTCCGGGGACCTCTGACAGGCCCTCCAGCTTGACGTCCCTGGGTGAAGGGAAATTCCCAGCTCTTCCTAGGAAGGGGACTCTACAGTGCTGTCCTCGGTGTGATGTGCCCCAGCCCTGCCTCCCAGGTTCACTAACTCGGTGAACAGAGAGAACTTCATGAGGGAAGAGGGAGGACAGCAGGAGGAAGGGGCTGGGGCACTGAGAGCCGTAGAGGGTTCGGCCACAGCGGCCAGGGCTAGACCATGCTCAGTGACCACCCTGGAGACCTCCCTGCAGGGGCGGCTGAGGAGGCAGGTGGGCAAACGGCCTGACCAGGGGCTCCAGACTCATGCCCCGCGCCCTGGCTGCTCACCCCAGCTCCTGCTGCTGCAGCCTCGACTTGTCCCTGTGGGGAGGGCAGCATCTCTATCCCTGCAGGCCTAAGATCCCGTCCTGTGCACCCTCCCCACACTCCCACTCTGTACCCCTCTTCCCCCGAGGGAGGTCTGTGTGTCCTCTGCCCTGCTGCGTGTGCCTGCGCTCCAGAATGCCCTGGGGCCCTCGATGGGGCCTCTCCTCAGCCTGAGCCAGAGCTGTCCTGGCCTCTGTGCCCACTGCCCCCGCCCTGACCACATTACTGATGTCCATATTTCCAATGGACACCTTTCCCCAGGACTGCCCACCCCCTGCTCTGTGCCCAGCTCTGCACCAGCTGCCAACAGGGCCACTTTGCTGGCTGCGAGCCCAACAGGTCCCCATGGCACATCTGTCCCTCCTCCTCTTCCTGGCACAGGGAAGGGGTGTCGCTGCACAAGTCCAGGTGTGGGTGAGCAGTGGTGCAGGAAGCCCCAGAACTCCTGGGCTCTACTCCTGGCCCCAGGATCTCCGAAGGACTGAGAAGTAACCAGGCGTTTCCTGCCCAGAGTCCCAGGCGCTGCCTGGGCGTCCTTGAGCCCCCACAAGGCTCCAAAGGCTGGCCATGAGTTCCTTGCTCTCCCAATATGCACCCTGGCCAGTGGGAAGGCTCCCCACCAGGTATCCCCATCAGCATGCCCAGCTGGTCCAGTGCCCAGCAGATCCACCTCTCTGTCAGTCCACAGACTACTACAACAACCAATCACACCCCCGTGGGACCCAGGGGCCTCGCACTCCGTCACTGCAAAGCCAGCCTCCGCAGGGTCACTGTGCCCCAAGGGCAGCCCAAGTGGCCCTGGGTATTGTGCTGTGTCTGCCTCCCCTGAGCTGTGAGCACCTGCGTTGTCCACCTCACCTCTGCAATGTAGGGTGACGGGGCTGGTCGTCTTGCACTGCTTAGGCTGGGTGCTCTCTCCCTCACCAGCGAGGTGAGAGGTGCTCAGGACACTGGGCTCCTTGGCTGCTGAGGAAACAGCAGGCTAGCCCAGGGACAGCTCTGGGCAGCTGAGCAGCCACTGTGAGCAGCATAGGGACCGTTACCAACACCCAGAGGGCCTGGCACCGTGGGACTTGATGGTCAGCCAGGCAGGGGGCACTCACCACACGATGGCCAGCCGAGGAATGGTGAACATGAGGGCTGGCTCATAGTCGTCGATCATGTCCTGGGTCAGGTACCCAAAGTCCAGGGCCCTGGCCAAGGGAGAAAGGGAGGGAGTGGGGCATCCATGAGGGGGGCAGTGGGCCTGACCCTGGCCTGTGTCCTCCATCAGCAGAAGGGTCGGAGGCTGACCTGTGCCATCCAAACCCTCGCACGTGCAAAAAGGCTGGCGCTAGAGGAAAAGGTCAGGGAGAGGCGGGCTCCGCTGAGCCTCATCTGCCATCTGTCCACTCCCACCACTGCTCCAGGAGGGGTGAAGAGAGCAGGAGTGGCCACTCAGCAGCAGCCTCTGACTCCAGCAGAACAGGGCACGGTCATCCAGACAAAGGCGCCACTCCACCAGGAACTCAAAACAGCTCGCGCCAAGAATAAGCCTGGGACGAAGACATGCCAAACCTGAACGTCCCCGAAGCAAGTCACTTGGAAAACTACGGGAGGTGAGATCTTGGCCCTGGAGTCCATTCAGAAAATGGGACCCTGAGTTACTGAACTAGGCCCTGATTCACCCCCAAAGCCGTGTTCGGCAGGCCGAAGCCCACAAGGCCCCGCTGTGAGGAGGCAGCAGGGAGGGAAGGAGGCTGGATGTCAGCCCGTGCCCACCTTCCCGCGTCCATCCCATCGCACGGCCTCACTTGCAACACCTGTCCTCTGGGCCCAGAGAAAAGGGGGCATGGGGCCAGCCACAGGTGGGAGGGCAGGCCTCTGCCCACCAGCAAGGAGCAGCCCGCGGTGGGAGGGTGGCAGGTAAGGGCATCTCCCAACTAGGCGCAACCCCCAGGGCTGCCCTCCGCCTGGGCCCGGAGCAGGGCAGAGGGGCAGCCCGTCCTACCTCTCCACCGTCTCGCAGAACAGCACGATGACCTCCTGCTGCACGTAGTACTCCCTGGGGGACTTCACGGGCACCATGGCCGAGACGTAGCTGCGGACACAGCAGGACACATCACCACAGGCCAGGCACTGTCCTAGGCTGCCTGGCCTCCCAAATGGGCCTTCAGTTAAAACCCCAGCTCCGGAGGTGACCACGTCATCAGCCTCACAACTACACAGGCCCAACTTCACGGTGCTGTTTAAACCCTAGCTCCTACCAAGGCAGGCCTCCTCCGGGCCTCTCAGCCCCTAGGCCCTGCCCGTGTGAGGGGCATCACCGCCACTCGATGATTGGCCCCCACTACTGCCCACCCCAGCTGCCTGGGTGGGTCAGGCCATGTGGACCTCCACAGCCTGGAGCCAGCCTGGCCAGGCGCAGGGCTCACAGGACGGCCGGGGCGGAGAGTCGGCCTTCTCCCAAGGGAACATTCTCTTTCCTTCCCAACCACCGACGCCCTTAGGGAAGATAAAAGAAAACAAACCCAAACCCAAACCTCCTAGGGCGGACCCCGTCACTGCCCGGCTGCGCATCACAAGACGCACGACCTTTGCCACCTGGGATGCGGATTTTTGCGTCTGACCTTTTCTGGCCCACCACAAGCACCACAGGGTCTGTGCACACTGTGCAATGTGCCTGGCGCCTTGGGCCTCTCCCAAGTCCTCTCCCCTGGAGGCCCACGGTGGCTGACCCCCCAGACCCCACCTGTGCCATTTCTGCTTACATCCCCTCTCTGGAAAGCCCCGTCCCCCACAGAGCCCCAAGTTAACCACACCACCAGTCGGCACCAGACTCCCCAGCCGTTCCTCCCTACATGGAACTTGCTGGAGATATCAGGATGCACCCCAAAAAGTCGGCCCCCACTAGGACGCATAGGGCCAGGGCGTGACTCCCCATGCCCGGGCCCCCAGGGTCACCTCAGCTCAAACTCGGCAAACAGGACATCGAAGTGCCTCAACGCTTCCCGCATCTTCTCTGTGTAGGTGCTGAGGTCACGCAGCGCCTGGTCACGGAGGGTGCCCCGAACATCCTCCAGGCTGCGGGTCAGCTCCTTGGCCAGCGGTCGCATAGCCATGCTCTCGAGCTCGCGGTTCATGATGATGGAACCAGCGGCCAGGCACTGAGGACAAAAGAACACACTCAGGAATGGCCCTGCCCCCGGGAACCGAGTGTGTGCCCCGAGGCATTTGGCCCACCTTCTCCCTCTGGGCCAGCACCTGGCACTTGCCCTGCCCCTCTGCAGAGGTCCCTGTCAAGTACTGCAACATGGCAGCAGTAACAAATGTCCCTGACTGGGACCAGCATGGTCCCCCCACAGACCTAAAGGGCAAGCCGAGAAGGGAGGGCCAACAGAGCCAGGTCAGGGGGACCCGGTGATGTGACTCCTGTCCCCTCCTGGTCCAGCCTAGGGACGAGTGCCCAGAGAACATGCTCAGTTCTGTGCCCAGGCATGCCTCGCAGGGCTGAGCTGGGCTCCCTGTGCACACAGTCTCCTGAAAGTGACAGGGAGCTCATGGGAACAAGCTCCAGGCCCAGAAAAACCTGACCCGAGAGGAGACCTCGGCCCCTGGCCGGCAACAGTCCCTCTGCCCACTGACCCCACGTCTGTCCAGGCTCTCAGTCACACAAAGTTCTGCCAACTGTTGTCAGGCCAGTGGGGAGGCAGCCGCCCCAGGAGGGCCTCTTGCAATGCGGATGCTCACCACAGGCCAGGCACTGTCCAGCAAAAAGCAGGACCAGTCCTCCAGCCAGTGCCCTCCCGCAACAACCATTCAGGACAAGAAGCAGCTTCCCAGGTGCGAGTGGGGAGAAGCCTGCTGGTTCCCAGGTCAGCCCTGCGGGTGGAGCCTCTGGGCTCCAGCTCCTCTCTCCCACCTCCTCTCACACCTCCTCACAGCTGCCCGCTGCCCCAGGGCCCACACCACAGGACAAACACTGAGGCTGAGAGAGGGCAGCCGGCCGGGGCACCCACACCCAACCAGAACCTCGGGAGGATGCGCCAGCCAGAGAGTTCAGAGGAATGGGGTGGGGAAGGGTGGGGGGCTGGAGGGGGGAGGATGGGGCACACGGGTGGGGCGGATCCAGAGGTACACGGAGAGATGGCACGGAGGACAGGGACAGCACAAAGGGCAGTGAAGCCCCTCTATCTCCAGAGCACAGTCAAGGGCAGGAGTCGGGATGTCCACACAGTAGGGATACGGGAAGCCCCAAAGCTGGGGGCGTGGGAAGGGCATCTTCCTCTCAGTGCCTCAGTTTCCTCACCAGGAGATGAAGATAAACTCTTAAGGGCTATTGGAAGAAGTGGAAGGTTGAGGCGCCCAGAATCCGCATCTCAGCTGTCACCATAGCTAGGGAAAGAGGAGAACTACCTTCTTGATATTGATAAAAAACGACTTTCAGGGGGCTGGGGTTGTGGCTCAGAGAAAAAGTGCTCGCCTAGCATGCGTGAGGCACTGAGTTCGATCCCCAGCACCACATAAAAATTAAATAAAGGTATTGTGCCCACCTACAACTAAAGAATAAATGTTAAAAAAATTTAAAAAAAAAAAAAAAAACACTTTCAGGTCCTGGATGTCGGGGGCCTGAGGATCTCATTAAAGCCACACTGGGAACTTCACTGCGTGTGCAGTCTTAAGGCATAGGTCTGTGGCTGTCCCAGCCCCTCCGAGGGCCGTGCGTTCTAACAGGCTCCGACCACACCATCTGCAAACCTGGGCAGGCGGGCCTAGGAGGAGACACCACACCTGCACTTGCAGGTGCCCAGGGGCAGGTCACAGGGAAATGACTGGATAAGGAGGTTCAACACTAGGACCTTGGAACCCAGGTGGCGCAGCTACCTCAGCCCCGAACCACAGCTGGCCAGCCAGGTTGTCATGCCGGATCTCCTCGGGGAACTTGACACAGAAATCCCGAGGGGCGCGGTCCTGGGGGATGCACTCGTCCATGATCTGGTTAATGATGTTTAACACGTTATCCTGAAATAGAAGAGGAGAAAGTGTGTGACTGCCACATCCAGCTGGGCTGTGTTACCCTGGAAAGCACACAGGCCACTGCTGGTTAGGGCTGTGACAGCGACTGAGAAACCCCCACGCCTGCCGCGTAGTGAGAGCATCGCAACGTCACACCACCCCAGGCCTGCTCCCGGGCAGGGCGACCCCAGGTGTCTCCAGGGCTCCCCACTGGCAGGCTGCTCTCTGATCCTGTGCATCTGAAGGCTCTGAGGAACTGTCCCCAGCACGAGGTGCCTTTCACATGGTGCTCAGGGCAGAGCAAGCCCGTTCCTTAGGAAGGTGGTGCCCTCCCCTGCGACGGCTCCCTGTGGGCTCAGCACCAGGCCCACCCCTGCGCACCTCTCTGCACACTGTGCAGGTTCTCCTCAGTCAGAACTGGAGAACAGACGGCTAGGCTGACAGACACGCAAAATTCTATTTTTGCTGCTACATCTCCGTGTTGCTTTTGTTCACGTGGCAGCCTACAAATCCTACTTGTGTGAAAATGCCACCAGGCAGTGACATCGCAAAGGGACACTACATGAAGCCACCCCTTACCAAGCCCACCCAGAAGGCTGCAAGTTGGCCTGTCCCTGGAGTAGAGTTGAGGCCACCATGTGAGGGGAAGGGCCTCCCCAGCCCCAGCAAAGGTCAGAGCTGTGGGATCTGGGGGTTCAGCAAGCTGGGGACCCAGCAAAGCCCTCGTCCTCCCTGAACTTCAGTCTTCTCCTTGCAGGGGGAGGAGACCCTTCAGGGCCAGGCACCCCCAGGCCATGTTCCTTTGCCCAGACAGCAGCCCTCCTGTCCCTGTGGAGCCAGCAGACAAGGAGCAATGTGTGCAGCCAGCCAGCACCAAGGAGCGCCCTCCATCCCACGCCCTGCCACCTGGGGCGGGCCCTTGGCCTCTCCAGGCCCAGACCCCATCTGCGAAATGGAAACCATGGTCCTGGGCTGCCGGGGTCTGTGTGAGGGGAAGTCTGCAAACCAGAGCCTCGGTCCTGGCCGTGGCACATCGCTGCACAGCACCTTCTGTCCTTACGGTCCTTCAGAGTGGTTTTACGCTACTCCTTGCACTCAAAATGCAAAGCACGACAGGCTTGTGCAGATGAGAAAACAGTTGCCCTGTTCTTTTCTTGATGATGATATTTTTGGAGAGCATTGAGAAAGAAAAGAAAAAAACTGTCCTGTTCTTTAAGTACCTAACATTTGTTCCACAGAATTACATGAACATTGAAAGTTTAATTTTTTTCCTTTAACTTTTTTTTCTAAGAGAGAGAGAGAGAATTTTAATATTTATATTTTAGTTTTCGGCAGACACAACATCTTTGTTTGTATGTGGTGCTAAGGATCGAACCCGGGCCGCACGCATTCCAGGCAAGCCCACTACCGCTTGAGCCACATCCCCAGCCCCTCCTTTAACTTTTTAAGCATGAAATCATTCTCACACATTCATTACAGGAAGTCTAGAACCAACAGGATAACACAGAGGCAGGGGAATGACCCTGGTGAAACTACCTGGCAGGCTGGCATATTTTCTCCCAGGACTGCTCCCCCGGCCTTTCCTGGGCAGAGCTGAGCTCTTCCTGTGTGCTTGATGTCACGTTCCACAGCTGACCCCTGCAGCCAGAGCCCATCACCATGGCTCTTCACCAACCCAGTGCCCGAAGGACGGCTCCACCCTGTGAAACACATGGACTCACTCCTCCCAGCCCTGCAAGCCATGTGCAGTATGCAGTCCTCACCAACAGAAAGGCTGTGGCCAGCAGTGTGGTGCAAGATGTTCCGGAGCAGGACCCACTGACTTCAAGCAATGGAATTACAAGTCAAGAGTTCAAACTACACACGGGCTCTAATTACATGCTGCCAAATGGCTGCCCAGAAAGATGGGTGCTCTCACCCTGGGTGACGCTGACCTGGACATCCCTCCCTTCTGCCCTCTGAGGCTTCAAGAGTGGGGAAACAGAGCCTTCTAACCAAGACAGCTGTGTGCTCTAAAGGAAAGTCTGCTGCGTAAGGAAAGAGCCTGGCCTTCGCAATACAAAAACAAAGACCCAAGCAATAGCAAGGATGAGATTGCCAGTCCTTTTTAAGAGGTTTTGGGATAGGAAGGTCCCTTCTTAGATTTCCATGAACTAGTAAACAAATGGTGAGAATAAACAATAGTGAGGGTTCAGTAAGCATCAGCCAGGTCTAAGAGTCAGGGATCAGCACGGAGGCTTGGCTTGCCCAGATGTGTGGCAGCCAATGCAGTGCTGGGTCTCACTGCCCACCTGCCTGGCCCACCAGTGCATCGGCTGCTGAGGGCAGGGTCTTTTCTGCACTGACACGTCCCCATGCCTGGAATAGCGCCTGATGCGTGACACCTCTGCAGACACAGCTGGGACTTCTTTTTTTTTAATATTCATTTTTTAGCTGTATCTTTATTTTATTCATGTGGTGCTGAGGATCAAACCCAGGGCCTTGCACATGCTAGGCGAGCACTCCAGCCAAGAAGAGGGGCAGGAACAAATGTGCCCCACTCCAAACAGCAGCCCCAGACATCAGACACTGGACCAGCCAAGGCATCAATCCCTAGGAATCAGGAAGGACAGCAGATCAGCCCTGCAACCGCCTGGCTTGCTCCCTGGAGGTGAGCTTCACACGTCACAGCACAGGAATGGCAGAGGGAGAGGACAGAGCAGCAGAGGTTCCACTCAGAGAGAGGCTCGCAGGTCAAGGGTGCACCTCGAAGGCTTGGTGCAGACCTAGCAGCACAGGAACAGAGAGCAGCCCCCACAGGAGGAGACCGAGTGGGGGCAGGAGCCACAGGGCCAGAGGGGGCATCCAGCAGGGCCTGCCTGATGCAGAGGAGTCGGCCCTCAACGCAGGACTGATTAATACCTCAGAACAAGGGCCAAAGGAGCAAGTGGTTTCCAAGTAACCGAGCATTGCAGGCGAAGCTCAGGAGTACTCACAGGAACACACTGTGGTCATCCCCAGCAAAGTGAAACTCACAAAGTCAGGCGTCCAAGGAAAAGTGACCAGGTGTGCAGTGAATTAAGAAAAATATGAGCCACAATGGAAAGGAGAAGCCACAGTCAAAATCAACCCAGACCTGACCGAGATCTCAGGGTCAGCCTCAGGACACCCAGGCAGTGGTCATAACCAGTCTCCATGTGATCAAAGTTTAGTGGAGACGACGAAGAAATGAAAAGTACCCCGATACTGACTCCTAGAGATGAAAATGCCCAGGTCTGGGATGAAGAGACTCAGCCAGGCACTTTGGAAAGAATGAACAGATGAAAGTGGTAACGGTCACTGTGACGAAGGGATCGTCAGTGATCTCAGCAGGTCCAACAGCAAGTGACCCCCCCCCCAAGGACGTGCGGTGGGGAGGGCAAGACCTGCAGGTAACCACGATAGGTAGACCCACAGGTTCCAGGAGCCCAGGAGCCCAGCACACAACAGAGTGTCCCAGGAAGGGTACCGCCAAATGGCCAACAGCAGGACAAAGAGAAAATCTTGAAGGTGACAGGAACGAGGCACCACCAAAAAAGTGCACTGGGTGTGTCAGAAAGAGTGCAGAGGAGGGCACCCTGAAGACCTGGCGGGAGAAGCAGCCAACTTGGACTCCAAACCCCACGTCCACCCAAATGCTGGAGAGTCCAGGAGCAGCAGACAGCCCTGAGTGACAGGAAATGCCAAAGGGCGTCCTCTGGAGAAGACAAGTGGCCAAATGGAAACCGGGCCTCTGGCGGCGACCATAGTCAACACACAGAGCCTTCCTGACGGTTCAGGTTCCTTTCCTTTTTTTTTTTTTTTCTTTCTTTCTTTTTTTTTTTTGAGGTAGGGTCTCTCTAAGTTTTAAGTTGCTGAGGCTGGCTTTGAACTTGGGATCCTCCTGTCTCAGCCTCCTGAGTCACTGAGATCACAAGCCTGGGCCACTGTACTCACTGCTATCCACTTTTTTATTAGGAAAAAAAACCCAAAACTGTCTAAACAAAAGCACTGCGACACATTGGCCTGTAGTGTGTGAAAGCAAAATGGACAAGCCCAGGACACGGCCCCACAGGAGGACGGGGAGGCCCAGGGCAGGGTCCTCCACCATACAGAAGCAACATGACATCACAGGGAGGCCTCTGAAGTTATGATGCTCACTAAGTGACCTAAAGCCACCACTGAATAATAAGACAAAGAGCTGGCCAGCAGGCCCACCAGGGAGACAGGGCAGGATCCCAAACCAGAAAGAATGCAAAGACATTTACCAAAGAAATCAGTGGAGTCAAGGGTCCCAAAGGAAGGAAGGGAGAAAGGGGACAGAGAACGGAAGGTCATATTCAACAATGACCTGAAGCCCAGGAAAGTGAGCCCAGTAACAGGCTGTGTATGACTCTCACGTGCAGGGACACAGTCACAGGCCAACGGTCAGAGAGGTGCCATGTTGCACCTGCCAGGGCCGGCCTGAGTGGCTATCGCAGCCTCCAGCTGCCTCGGAGTAGAGACCCCATGAGGCTAGAGCCACTTGGTGTGGGGGGTTCGAGCATAGGGAGCACAGGACCCCTCGCACTTCCGGGCCTCCAACAGAGCTCAGCCACACGAGTGAGGACAGAGCCCTGACTGTGGCTGGCAAGTCCAGGGCCCCTCTCCCAATAATCGTTAGGACACAGAAAGAAATGGACAATCATCAAGCACCTAGTAAATTTTAACAATGCTATTAACCAACTAGACACGGCTGGCACTTACAGAGCGTCCCATCCAAGACGGCAGAATGCACCTGGTCCTCATGGGGAACAACACCAGGAAAGACCAGATTCTCGGCCATGAAACAAGCCTTGTAAAGTTTAAGAAGAATTCAAGTCATGCAAAATACACACTCCAGGCTTGATGTAGAGACACATGTCAAAACCCAGCTATTCAGGAGGCTGAGGCACGAGGATCGCAAGTTCCAGGCCAGCCTCAGCAACTTAGTGAGGCCGTATCTCAAAAAATAAAAAGGGCTGGGGCGG